GGCCTGTGACTAGTGGTGTGCCACAGGGGTCGGTGCTGTGACCATTGTTATTTGTTATTTACATAAATAATCTGGATGTGAATGTACAAGGCATGATTAGTGAGTTTGTGGATGATATAAAATTAGGAGGTATCATTGATAGTGGGCAAGGTTATCAAAAATTACAGACGGGTCTTGATCAGATGGGGAAGTGGGCTGAGGGTTGGCAAATGCAATTCAATACAGATAAGTGTGAGGTGTTGCATTTTGGAAGTCAAACCAAGGTAGGACTTATACAGTAAATGGTAAGGTCCTGAGGATTGTTGTGGAACAGAGGGAGCTAAGAGTACAAGTACATAGTTTGTTGAAAGCGGTGTCACAGGTAGACAAGGTGGTGAAGAAGGCATTTAGTATGCTCACCTTCATCGGCTGAGGCATTGAGTACAGGAGTTGGGACATTATGTTACAGTTGTATAAGTCATTGGTGAGGCCACACTTGGGAGTATTGTGTACAGTTTTGGTCACCCTGTTATATCAAAGACATAGTAAAACTGGAAAGTGCACAAAGATGATTTATGAGGATGTTGCCAGGACTAGTCGGCCTGAGTTATAGGGACATGTTGGCCAGGATAGGACTTTACTCCTTGGAACGTGGGAGAATGAGGGGTGACCTTATTGAGGTGTATAAAATCATAAGGGGCATAGATAGGATGAATACATGTAGTCTTTTTTCCAGGGATGGGGAATTGAAAACTAGAGACCATAGGTTTAAGGTGAGAGGGGAAAGATTTAAGAAGGACCTGAGGGGCAACTTCTTCACACAGAGAGTGGTGTGTATATGGAATGGGCTGCCAGAGAAAAGGGGTTCAGGCAGGTACAATAGCAATATTTAAAAAGCATTTGGATAGGTACATGGATGGGAAGGGTTTAGAGGCATATGGACAAAATGCGGGCAATTGGGACTAGCTGAGTGGGCACCATGGTCAGCATGGACCAATTTGGGCCAAAGGGCCTTGTTTCCATGCTGTATTACTTTATGACTCTATGACTCCTTAAACAGCACCTTCCAAACCTGCGACCTCTCACCCCTAGAAGGACAAGGGCAGCCGATACAGAGAACAAAACCATCTACAAGTTCCCCTCCAAGCCACTTCAGCTGCCTGACCTGGAAATACACTGCCGTTCATTCAGCATTGCTGGGTCAAATTCCTGGAACTCCCTACTAATTCCCAATAATCAACTTGAAAAATTGCAATTGTGGGAAGCTTTATTTTTTGATCATTGATAAATAGATAGGGTCAAGGAATTTACTTGTGGCGCAGAACGTGAATAGTTTCACTAGATTCTATTTGTAATCTAATCAATGGACAGCTCCATTGGCTAGACCCTCAGTGTGGATTCATTTGGTACCCATGCGGCTTTGAATCTCTGTTCTGCCAGGGGCGAGTTTGGTGCCTGCCTCCTTACTCTACCTTCTTTCCATTGGAAGGATTGGATTTGCCTTCGAGCAGAGAACTGAAGCAGAAGATTTGTTGTTTAATGAAGCAGGATATTAATCATGGGAGGAGCCAGCTAAAAAGTAGGATGACATGAATCATAGAATCCCTACAGTGTGGAAGCTGGCCATTCAGCCCATTGAGGCCACTCTGACCCTCCAAACAGCATCCCTCTCAGACCCACACCCCTACTCTATCCTCATAACCCTGCATTTCCCATGGCTAACCACCTAACCTGCATATCTTTGGAGTGTGGGAGGAAATTGGAGCACACAGAGAAAACCCACGCAGACACAGGCAGAACATGCTAACTTCACACAGATAGATGCCTGAGTGTGGAAATGACCCAGGTTCCTGGCACTATGAGCCACCTCTGAACCACTGTAAGTCAAGTGGAGAAAGAAATTGGCACAAACTTGAAGGGTTGAATAGCTGTACTCAATCATTTATGTGAAATACAATTCTTAAAACAGGATGAATAGTCCTATGGCTCTATTCAACTATCTATGCAGCTTCTCCCATTTCACTATCATGAAAAGCTAATCCTATCACCTCTGACACCTCCTGACTGAGCCTTCAAACCCATGTTGATCTCCACCACACCCTTTCCAACATCATCTAGTCGATGACTCCCATTGGTTCAACCGTCACTTCCATTCCTAAAGCCTTCCTGATTTCCATTCCTGACTCCTGTGTGAGGTCATAAATGCAATAACCTTTTTCCACCTCAAAGATCATTCTCTCTTCAGATAGTACGGTCCCATCTCCAAACTCCTTTTAACCTCTAAAGTCACTGAACGGGTTTCTCCATCCAACAACTTCATCTGTCTCCCCTCTAACACCTTCTTTGATTCTCTCCATTGGCCCCATAGCTTCACATTGGCCTTCCATACAATCAAGAACACATTCTTTCTGACGGTGAGAAGGAGATATCATTGCTCATTTTCTTTTGGCGTAGTCACTCTAACCGCCTGACATATCAGACTTGAAACGTTAACTTTGTTTCTCTCTCCCCAAATGCTATCAGACTTGCTGAGCTTCTCCATCATTCTTCGTTCTTGTTTCAGATGCCTCGTCTTTGTTGACCAACTCTAGGGGACCACCCTCACCTGAGTCCAAATGCCTTCTCTTCCCCTCTCGTACAGACACAATTGAAGATACCAAAAAAACTACCAACTTCTTTTTATTCTGTCCTTTATTGACATCAGAACAACCAGTTCTTTTTTTACACCATCACTGTCTCTCGATGCATCTATTGCAACTCTACCCTCCCCCTGCGAGGAATCCCCTGACCCCACCCATTGTCAGACTGTTTGCAGATGAGCAAACAGCTAACAAAGGTTGCAAATTTCTTGCCTTCACATTTTATTCGACTGTCTTTTGATCAATGCGTAATTCTTCCACCATTGCCTTATCAGACAACACGTTACAGATTGCAACAATTCGCTGCATTAAATAAAAAGCCTCATCTGATCTGAGTTTCTTTTGCCGACTATCTTCTGCCTGTTTCCTTTTCTTACTGACCCTCCTGCACCTGGAATCAGGGGAAGAAGGACCTGGAAGTACTCAGCAGGTTAGACAGCATCGCCGGAGAGAAACAGAACTCACGTTTCAGGTCGGAATGATCCTTCAGTTCCCAGCATTTGCACTGTTTTGCTTTTGAACTTTCTCTGTTGTAAAGCCAACACTCTCCAGTCTCTCCACATCACTTAAGTCCCTCATCCTTGGTATCCACTCTGGTAAATTATCTCTACGTTCTCTCTAGAGCCTTGGCATTCATCAGGAAGTGCAGTGGCTAGAATTGGATCAATAGTCAAGTGAGACCTAACCAATGATTTATAATAGTTTAACCTAACATCTTGGCTTTTGTACCCTAAGCCTCTGTTTACGAATCTGAGGATTCAGTATGTTTTAACAACATTACCAACTTATCCAGTCACCTTCCAAGATTTCTGTATGTACCAGGTGATGAACACTTATGAAACAAAAGGGGGAAGCTTTGAGCATGGGACTCAGAGAAGATTGCTGGTGAAGAAATGGAGAAGAGGGCTGGATGCTGTTGAGTGTGCAATGGTGGTTATGGTGGTGGTAGTGTGGGTGGGGGAGCGGGAGGAACAATGTGGGATTGAGAGGGGTTCTGGTAACCTTGCAGTCAGGAGGCAAACAAAAGGTACAACTAGCACTTTGCAGACATCACCGCCAGCCAGCTCAAAGACAAAGTCCCACTTGGATCATTCACACTGTCGCCCTGCAGGTTATCCTAGAATTACAGGACAAAAGGTGCCCCATTCGAGATATGTGGCAACAGTCCAAGTAAGGACAATGCCTTAAAATACGAGACAGCTCCTCACACCATACCAGCTTGCACAGCCCCACATCTGTCTTTCTCGCAACCCCTTTAAACTCTGCCACTCCATTTATGCTATCCACCTTCATTAGTCATAGGACCATGGAACTGGGTATAAGTCTGTTTTGTGACCACTTGATCCATCTGGATTAGAGGCCAACACTATCAGTGAACTCCAGCTGCTTTGACTGGGTTCAATCAAATGCTTTTCTAGCATGTACTGAGTCTCTGTTCTCACCTGAGCTTGTTTCTATGGGCTCAACCAATAAGGATGTTGTTTTATTGGCCCTGGTTCTCCTGTGCCCACATCATGCCCTAGCTAATGTAGTGCATCTAGCTGTATCTCAACAGACTACCTCATGCTTCTTCATCAGTCTTACAAGATCCTCCCATTGTCCTTTCTATAAAGGTAAGAATACAGTGGCAATCTCACCTAATATTTGTGTGTTAGCTAACTAGATTGTAGGAGGTTCACAATTAATTTTAAAGGTGGTGTGTGGCTTGGCGGGGAAGTTGCAGGTAGTGGTATTCCCATGTATCTGCTGCTTTTGTCCTTCTAGATGGTAGTGGTTTGGGTTTGGGAGGTAATGTTGGAGGAACATTGGTGAACTGTTTATCTTCCACCTCACTGTTATTGTCTTCGTCATCATCTAATACGTCTTACCATCTTGATTTAATTTATTATTGTCACATGTACCGAGATACAGTGAAAAGTATTGTTTTGTGTGCTAACCAGACAAATCATACCTTACATAAATACATCAGGGTAACGGAACAGGATGAAGAATATCGTGTTGCACCTACAGAGATGGTGCAGAGAAAGATCAGCTCTAATATATCAGAGGGTCCGTTCATAAGGTCTGATAACAGCAGGGAAGATTTTGCTTTTGAATCTCAAGCATAGCTTCTTCCCCTCTATTATCATCATCTTCCCTACAACAACTTAACATTTTTATGTGACATAATGGATTTTTCTACCTAAAATCAGGACTATTTATCAGTTAAGCCACTTTACTAACCCTCATAATTAGTCTACTGTATTTCTCTTACAAAGGCCAACCTTGCAAAGGCAATAATACCAATGTTTTATCTCGTGTTTGAATTGCTCTAATTTCTGAACGTCTACCTGCCCATTTTTCATTTTTACTTATGAAAGTTTCAAATGTTCTTCTGCCTACCTTGCACACTCCTGTGAGTCTTTCTCGAAACACCTAATCCAATGTTGAAAACTTGCCCGGTTGGTTTGGAAACTTCTTCCTAATCAACTTTTATCGACATTTAATTTTCACTGCACCTAGGTACAATTGACAATATATTAAATAAATAAATCTATTGAGGAAAGTTTGGAGGGATATGGGCCAAACACAGGCAAGTGGGACTAGTTTAAGTTTGGGAACATGGTCAGTGTGGATTAGTTGAACCGAAGGGTCTGTTTCTGTGCTGTATGACTCTGTAACTGTGACTCTATAATCTCATGACCATAAAGCAATTCCAATTGACTAAACCTAGTAGAATGATATGGGGACTCTCTGTTTGCCACATATCTCTCAATTTCATCCACAGGTAATGTCTTTACTACCCCAGCTATCACTAGTCCAGAAAACAAGGCACACTCCAATTGGACTTTGTACAATGGAACCAGGATATACTCCCCACTCATCCCATTTACTAACATTTTGGTTTCCATTGAACTTTGTGAAGGGAAAACTAAATCCTTCCCCAGCAAAACAGTTTGAGTCACTCCTGTATCGGATAGAATATGGGCTTAGATGCATCCTTTGAAGAAAAAGGGGTTATCTTCTCTTTAGACAAAAGAAACCTTCATATGTCTCATCTAACTCAGGTTCTTCTTCTGCACTCACAGCAGGGTTTACTTTCTGTCTCTTTGTTGCAGTTAAAACTGTAATCTGATCCATGGCCTTTTCCTTCTGCATTTCCTTTTCAGACTCATTCTGATGAGTTCTAAAAAGTCCCATTCATGAAAAGTGGGCATCGCTGTCTAGGCGGGCATTATGCCTCCACCTAGCAGCCCTTGAGAAGGTGGTGGTGAGCTCTCTTCTTGTATCACCGCGTAGGTAGATCCACAAAGCTGTTAGAGAGAGAGTTGCAGGATTTTGACCCAGTGACAGTAAAGGAATGGCAATTTATTTTAAAGGTGGTGTGTGGCTTGGTGGGGAACTTGCAGGTGGTGGTATTCCCATGTATCTGCTGCTTTTGTCCTTCTAGATGGTAGTGGTTTGGGTTTGGGAGGTAATGTTGGAGGAATATTGGTGAACTTCAGCAGTACTTCTTGTAAATACACACTGTAGATGGTTCTGAGTGATGCAGCAGCAATTGGTCAGGGTTTTCTTTCTGTGCTATGGATCTCTATGACTATTATTATGTAGATGTCAGCACTGTAGGTTAACTGAAACAGCTTGGCTAGGGCGCGGCCTGTTCTGGAGCATGTGTCTTTAGAACTATTGCCAGAAATTTGTCAGGGCCTATAGCCCTTGCAGTATTCAATGCCTCCAACCATTTTTTGATATCATTGGAATGAATCAAATTGGCTGAAAACTGGCATCTATGATGCAGGGAACCTCTGGAGGAGGTTGAAATGGTTCATCCATTCAGCATTTCTTGCTGAAGGTTGTTGCGAATGCTTCAGCCTTACCTTTCACACTGATATTGGGCTCTCACATTATTGAGGATGAGATATTTGTGGAGCCTCCTCCTCCATTCAGTTGTTTAACTGTTCTAACACCATTTGTGACTGACTTTGAGAGGATTGCAGAGCTTAGACCTGATCCTTTGGTTGTGGAAGCGCTTACTCTATCACGTACTGTTTGGCACGGAAGTAATTCTGTTTTATAGCTTCAACAGGTTGACATTTCTTTTAGGGATGTCTGGTGCTGCGCTTGGCATCTCTTCCTGTACTCCTCATTGAGCCAAGGTTTATCCCCTGGCTTGATTATAATGACAGAGTGGCTGTAAGGCTGCAATTTGTGTTAGAGAGCGAGTCTGCTGCCGCTGATGGCTCACAGCGCCTCATGGATGCTCGATCTCAAGTTGTTAGATGTGTTCAAAATCTATCCCTTTTAGCACAGTGAGAGTGCCACACAACAAACGTAGGGGATTTTCTGGTGGACCTTTGACTCCACAATGGCTAGGTGGTGACTACTCTTACCAACGCATGGTATTGAGCAGGCAGTTTCCTCACACATGTTTAATCTGAAGCCATAGAGTCATACTGCATGGAAACAGCCCCTTCAGTCCAACTAGACCATGCCAACCATGTTCCTAAACTAAAACTAGTCCCACTTGCTTGTGTTTTGCCCATATCCCTCTAAACTTTTCCTATTCATGTACTTATCCTAATGTCTTTTAAATGATGTAACTGTAGCTGCATCCACCACTTCCTCTGCCAGTTCATTCCACACACGAACCAATCTCTGTGTAAAAAAGGTGCCCTTCATGTCCTTTTTAAAACTTTCTTCTCACCTTAAAAATGTGTTCCCTAGTCTTGAACTCCCTCAACAGGGAAAAGAACCTTGCTATTCACCTTATCTATACCGTTCACGATCTTATAAACCTCTATAAGGTCACCCTCTATCCTCTATGCTCCAGTGAAAAAAGCCTCAGCCTATCCAGAGATAACAAGGTGTAGAGCTGGGTGAACACAGCAGGCCAAGCAGCATCAGAGGAGCAGGAAAGCTGACTTTTCGGGTCTGGACCCTTCTTCAGAAATGGGGGAGGGGAAGGGGGCTGGGGTAGTAAAGACATTACCTGTGGATGAAATTGATTTACTCCTTGGGGGAATGATTTGGCAGGACTGTGTGTCCCAACACTGAGTGTGAATCAGGACTGCATATCCCAGTACTGAGTGTGTAACACAATTGTGCGTCCCTGCAATCAGTGTGTAACAGGACTGGGTGTTGCAGTACTGAATGTGTAACAGGACTGAGTGTCTCAGTACTGTGTGTGTAACGGGACTGTCTGTCCCAGCACTGAATATGTAAAAAGACTGCAAGCTCCAGTACTGACTACCTGTGTGTGTAATAGGACTGTGTCTCACAGGACTGTTTGTCCCTGCACTGAGTGTGTAACAGGGCTGAGCATCCCAACACTGATTGTGTAACGGGATTGATTGCCCCAGCACTGAATGTGTAACAGGACTGAGTGTCCCAACATTTGAGTGTGTAACAGGATCATGTGTCCCAGTACTGAGTGTAACAGGACTGTGTCCCCCTGCAATGAGTGTCTAACATGACTGTGTGCCCTAGCACTGTGCGTGTAACAGGACTGTGTGTCGCAGTACTGACTGTGTAACAGGTCTGAGTGTCCCAGTACTGTGTGTGTAACAGGACTGAGTGTCACAGTACTGAGTGTGGAATAGGAGTGAGTGGCCCAGTACTGACTAACTGTGTGTGTAACACAACTGTGTGCCCCAGCACAGTATGTGTAACAGGACTGTGCATCCCAACATTGATTGCGTAACACGATTGAGTGCCCCAGTACTGAATGTGTAACAGGGCTGGGTGTCCCAGTGCTGAGTGTTAACAGGATTGAGTGCCCCAGTACACAGTGTCTAAAAGGATTCAGTGTCCCTGCACTGAGCGTGTAACAGGGCTGAGTGTACCAGTACTGAATGTGTTACAGGACTGTGTGTCCCAGCACTGACTAATTGTGTGTGTGAAACAGGACTGTGTGTCCAGCAGAGTGTGGGTAACAGGTCTATTTGTCACTGCAGTGAGTGTGTAACAGGATTGACTGACCCAGTACTGAGTGTGTAACAGGACTGTGTGTCCCAGCACTGAGTGTGTGTAACATTACTGCATGTCCTAGCACCGAGTGTGTAACAGGACTGAGTGTCCCAGCACCGAGTGTGTAACAGGACTGTTCTGTCCCAGCACCAAGTGTGTGTAACATTACTGCATGTCCCAGCACCGAGTGTGCAACAGGAAGGTGTGTCCAGTACCGAGTGTGTAACAGGATCGTGTGTCCAGCACCGAGTGTGTAACAGGACCGTGTTGCCCAGCACCAAGTGTGTAACAGGACTGTGTGTCCCAGCACTGAGTGTGTAACAGGACCATGTTGCCCAGCACCAAGTGTGTAACTGGAGTGTGTGTCACAGCACCGAGTGTGTAACAGGACCGTGTGTCCCAGCACCGAGTGTGTAACAGGACCGTGTGTCCCAGCAGTGAGTGTGTAACAGGACTGGGTGTCCCAGTACTGAGTGTATAACAGGACTGAGTGTCCCAGCAGTGAGTGTATAACAGGACTGAGTGCCCCAACACTGAGTGTGTAACTGGACGGTTTGTCCCACTACTGCATGTGTCACAGGACTGTGTCCCAGCACCGAGTGTGTAACAGGACTGAGTGTCCCAGCACCAAGTGTGTGTAACATTCCTGCATGTCCCAGCATCGAGTGTGTGTAACATTACTGCATGTCCCAGCATCGAGTGTGTAACAGGACCATGTGTGTAACAGGACCATGTGTCCCAGCACTAAGAGTGTAACAGGACTGTGTTGCCCAGCAATGATTGTGTAACAGGACAGTGTGTCCCAGCACTGTGTGTGTAACAGGACTGTGTGTCGCAGCACCGAGTGTGTAACAGGACTGGGTGTCCCAGCACCGAGTGTGTAACAGGACCGTGTTTCCCAGCACCAAGTGTGTAACAGGACTGTGTGACCAGCAGTGTATGTATAACATGTCTATTTGTCCCAGCAGTGAGTGTGTAACAGGTCTAGTTGTCCCAGCAGTGAGTGTGTAACAGGACTGTGTGCCCCAGAGGTGAGTGTGTAACAGTACTGTCTGTCCCAGCACTGAGTGTGCAAGAGGGCTGTCCGTCCCAGCACTGAGAACGGAACAGGAGAGTGTGTCCCAGTACTGAGTGTGTAACAGGACTGGTTGTCCCAGCAGTGAGTGTGTAACAGGACTGGGTGTCCCAGCAGTGAATGTATAACAGGACTGAGTGTCCAGTACTGAGTGTGGAGCACGATTGAGTGCCCCAGTACTGAGTGTGTAACACGATTGAGTGCCCCAGTACTGAGTGTGTAACATGACTGAGTGTCCCAGTACTGAGTATGTAACACGATTGAGTTTCCCAGCACTGACTAATTGTGTATGTAACAGGATTGGGTGACCAGCATTGTGCGTATGACAGGTCTATTTGTGTAACAGGATTGACCAACCCCAATGCTGAGTATGTAACAGGACGATGTGTCCCAATACTGAGTGTGTAACATGTGTGAGTGTCCCAACACTGAGTGTGTAATTGGACTGTTTGTCCCACTACTGCATGTGTCACAGGA